CCGTACGTTCTATTTCATTTGGAAACCAGCTTATAAATCTGGCCGCAATCAGTTTACTTCTTCTTCTCTAATCATCCTTCAATATTTACCAAACGTTGGCTCTTACTGTGGTTGATTGAAACTTACATTCAATTATGTGTCATGCGTGATACACGCTTAGGCGATCATGTAACTTTCGATACGTGACTGACGAAGCAGATTTTTTTTCCTGCAGTAGGTTGGCATTTCTTTCTGCGGTAGACCAGTTGCCATCCAAGGCTATAGAACCCGGTCCATCTTGCTATTTACCCGTAGCTGGAGGGAGGAGAAGAGGATTCATACCTTTTCCAAGGGTTACGAATCCTATTCATTCACTTTTTTCTCATATTCGAATGTGTTATTTATAATTATTCTCTATTTAATTGCCTGTCGTTTCACTAACGGCAACATGATGAAATCTCAAAACTAAATTGTTTGCCACTCTAAAATAGACATTTATTAGAAAATATATTCAGTTTAAAATTAAGAATATAAAATGACTTTAGATGTCCGACTCATAACATTTTCCTATTATGCAATGGATGTTCTCAGATAGAAAAAGAAATTAGTCTTTGCCACACAGTTTCATTTACATAGCGGGTGGGTGTACATTGCGTGTTTCGCATATATAAATTAATTCAATAACAGATGTAAAAAATATTTATACATATGTAAAAATAATAAAAAATATTTTTTATTGCCAAATAAATTCCAAACCGTTGAATAAAATTTTAAAATTATCTGATCTTTAGGATTTACAAAATTAAAGTTTTTTTTTCTTGTCTCCAACTTTAGGATTTTATTACTTAGCCCAGGATAGGGGTGTCTGAGTGGAAAGGTAATGTAATACTCCAATGTCTTCTTTCAAATTCAGTCATATTGTGTATTAGTGCGTGTGCCTGAGTATACTTTAAATGCTACAAGCTCACATAGGTCATTCATTCGCTACACAGACATATGTATATACATTGTATAGGCGTATAAAAAGTCACATGAGGACAGTGTGTGACAGACAGACAATCAGCTCTGATATTATAATACTAGAATTAAAAATGCTAGTGTTGAAATCCACAGAGTATTTGGTATTGTTGAAGTTATCGCTAACATTTTTGTCGAGATTTAAAAATTCTACGATTCGTTTAATTTCGCAAACCAATCGATGAAATTTGAATAAGCTGATTTGTTCGGAAAGATACTTTGACAAAATCCCTACTTCGCAGTTTAATAATTTCTTTAATTTAATTTAATTTTAGAGTACTTCGTGGCAAACAATATTTTTTAAAGAAATTCTTAGGATTTCTTACTCTTGAGCATGCAACATACAACTTGCCATGTGTAAACATTTCTTTCTGGAGCCAAATTCCAACTTTTTGAAGCGTTTGGCTTTGCGTTTATAGTTTTGGCAAACGCAGGGCGAACTAAAAACTGGATTCTTGCATATGCAAAAACTTATAGAAAAGATATACAAAAAACATTATTGCATTTTTATTAAATAAGTTTTTGTTATTTTAATCATTAAATTGTTTTTAAAATTGTGTATTTTGTATGGTAAATAATAAAAGTTAAATTTAAAAAAAAATAATGAAGATTTATTATACTATGCTACACACCCTAGTAAAACCGACTGTAAAAACTTTTTACCCCTTAACTTTTTGCATTTCTCCCGAAAATTTACTTTCGATCTGTCAATGTGTGATTATTTTAGAGGGTATGACAGACAGAATAAAGGAAGTCACAGAATTTGATCTATAAATATTATCGATATAAAACATTTTTTCTGTCGGTAATACTTACTATAATACTGACACCTCTTTTCCTCTTACTTCTTTTTCAATTATTTATAACGTACTAAGACTATTAGCAAATCTTTCAGTAATTAATAGTTGTTATTAGTAAACATTATTATAGCGCTATTCTGTCCGTAACTTCTGTGTTTGTTCCAGATCACTCGCGTTTCCTTTCATCCTGATTCTCAAGGCACATTTGCTAAAAACTGTTTATAAAATTTGCGAGATCCTGTATTTAATTAACAAAGATTCCTTTGTTTCTAAATTTACTGCTAGAAATATTTAAAATAAAACAATGAGTGGCGGAGTAGTAGTAACGTCAGTGGACAACGATATGAAAAGCAGACATTTTGTTTACATCAGTGGTTCTCAACTGGGGTCCTGTTCGAATTCAATTAGAGGTTAACGCTCAGATTTTCAAAGGGAGCAATTCGTTCCGGAAGGATGAGCAGCCCCTGTCAAAACATCTGTGTGTTTATTTTTAGTATGATACCCATAATGAATACGTACCTCTAAAACGGAAAAAAATTTTGTTTCCCAAAGGGACTTAAAAGACAGAGTTTAATATTTACAATTCAAATCTAATACTCCTTTATATATATATATTGTTGTATGGATGTGAGTTTGTAACCATAGCTTTTACTGCGATCTCCGACAAGCATGAAACCTAGGGTTACAAACTCACATCCATGCAACTAAGTATCTCAGCACTATCACTGATATTGAGAGCTTTAACAAGTACCGCGCGCACGCACACACACACACACACACACACACATATTATGAATAAGTTCTGTCTATAAATTTTCAAGGAATAAAACACACAAACACAATATTTCAGATTGACTGTTTATATGGTGTCCATATTATTTTACAGAAACTATTTGAGAGAATTTATGCTGCCGAGCCGAAATACCCCCATATATATATATATATATATATATATATATATATATATATATATATATATATATACACGAATACAGGGTGGGTATAAATGGAATAAAAATTCCGTTAACCGAAATCATTATTTTTTAAAGTACTCAGTACATAGTAGAGCGATTAAACACCATCACTTAACAAGATACCAGAAGTTTCGAAACAAAATGGCCATTTTTTTAGTGATGTTATAATATGCTTATGTTATAATTTATATATATATATATATATATATATATATATATATATATATATATATATATATATTTACTAAATAGAGGGAGTGTGTCCAAATGACCGGAGAGTAGTGTGAGCCGGACGATAGACGAACTTATCTACTCCCACCGAGGAAAAAATTAAATATTAAATAAAATTAGAGTTTAGGTGGAAACGTTAGCAGTATAGAGTTTATTGAGTTTCAGATTTTCACGGTGTGTCCCATTATTGAAGCCTTATGTTAGATAACTTTCGGCCTTGGAGAGCCTATCGACGATGGTTAATCATACAAGACATTGTTAGAGAGTTTGCCTCTGACTTGGTATCCAACGATTGCGTTGTTAATCCCGATTATCCTAAGCTTCATAAATATCTAATCTTCCAATAAAGTGTAGCATCATATTCAATTATCTTATTCATAAGAAGCTGTATAATTTCATTGCCGTAAATCGTTCTAAACAAATGGATCCGTTCAGAGACAAGTCCACTGATTTTAATCATTGTGCGTGTGTGTCTGTGTTGAGCACCCGTGACGATGAGTTTGTGCGTGTGTACAAATTCTAGATTTCCACGTGGTTCTTCCATTCAGGAAAGACAAAGTGGTTTCTTTGTTGGCGTTTATAGAATTACAATGGCTCGAACATTCCTGATGACAGCGCTTATTTGCACAAATTTCTTGGTCTATCTATCTTTGTTTCAATCCGTTTATTACTTTCAGTATTGTTTTTTTATCATTCTTTATTTATTTATCAAGACCTGTTCCAGTGTTTTTATCATTTTGAAATTACGAGATTAAGTATTTTCATTATTTCGTTGTATAAGTAATGTCTACACCGTTTTGTTGTTTTTATCAGAGTTTTTAGACGATCTACTCTGCTGTCGTTGGATTTTACTGCAAAAGAAAACAGAAGAAAGAAACAGTTTCGACCGAGATTAGAACATGCATCATATATTTCCATCGTATCTATCTAAAAAGCAATATTTTCTTATCTATCTATCTATCTATCTATCTATCTATCTATCTATCTATATGGCTATCTACCTAAATCAGTTCTTTTGATATCTATTTAAATAAATCTTTTCATATCTATTTCGATCTAAATCAGTCATTTCATATTTATCTATTTTCCTATCTACCGAAATAAGTATTTTCGTAACTATCTAAATCAGTCTTTTCATATCTATCTCTCTATCTATCTAAATCAATATTTTCATAACTAAATCAGTCTTTTCATATCTATCTATCTATCTATCTATCTATCTATCTATCTATCTATCTATCTATACCAGTATTTTCATATTTATCTATTTAAATCAGTCTTTTCGTGTATGTCTATCTATATAATTAATAGATGTCTTGAATCCGACATTATTTCTCATTACTATGAAAAATACATTTAGTGGGGACACGTGTTTGCGCGGCCATCCATAATTTTACACAGTGAAATTTATTTCTACCGGCTTAAAAGCGAAAGGACATTTACTTTATTAAAACTTTCGACTAATTTAACTGCTTATAAAACATTGACTTCTACTCAAACACGTGTCCCTACTAAATATAACGTTTATAGCGATAAGAAATATCGACCTATCATTTCCTAATTTTGTTCACATCTATTTATCTGTCTGTCTGTCTGTCTGTCTGTCTATGAGTTGGGATCAAATAGAGATTAAATATGCATCGGAATCTGACAGAATGATAAGATAAATAATGAATAGGAAAATTTATCAATCTATCATGTTTCACTTGTATTAAAGCTTATCTCTCAAACAATATAAATCTAAAAATACCTGAATTATTTTAATTTTCTCCATATCACATTCTCTAAGGAAGCTTCAATAAAAGTGAAACATGTTAAATTGATAAATCTCATATTCGTTCTTTATCCTATCTATCTATCTATCTATCTATCTATCTATCTATGTCAGGCTGTTTATCTATCTTCATATTAATTTCGGTCATTCTCTCGCTTTATCTATATTTTATATCAGTTATATCTATTATTTCATCCTTGTCAGTCCGTCCCTTCTTCTTCGTGCTTACGGCCACATCACGTTGAAATACTGGTTCTCGTGTGATCACTGAAGTTAAGCAACTTCTAGCCTGGCCTGTACCTTGATGGGTGACCGTTTGGTAATTTATGATGCAGTAAACTTAGATGTGCAGCTGGAATAAGGGATAACGATGCGAAATTGGAACTCAGAAAGTCGGTTTCGTTATATTCACTTTCCTTGGGAAATGAATCTACGTCATTTCCTCAGCTATGGGTTAAATAGTAGGTCGTGTATCAATACATCATTATTATCACCAAGAAACTCTTACAATCTAGAAATATTTTTTGGCTTTACAAAAAAACTGCAAAAGGCCGATAAGCCGTAAAAAACAAATCAATCTTCTTCTTCTTCCTCCTCTTCTACGTCTATCCTTTAATCGGTATTCGATTCCATGTAAAATTTAGAACTTTAAATTCCAGTGTCCACAGCTCAAATATAGCAGTCAGTTTATTCGTATCCTTGTAAAATCCCTATTATATACATATCTACTTGCTGTACAAATCGACTTGCTAATATAACGGATGTATTCTTGAATACCAGTTAAGTTAATATAATAAATATAATATAATAATATGGTCTTGTTTCTATTGATGAATATCGTACTGGTGGGAGTTTGTCACAATACACATGGAAAATAAAGTTAATGTTGTAAATGCTTCATTTCTTAAAGGAATTAGATTTTGAACTTAAATATTTGATAACGAACTCCCACCAGTTTGAAACCTGACCTAAAGTATATGGCTTTTGCCTCAAGTGTCACGAGTTTATGTCAGTTCAATATTTTATTTATATTTCGAAAATATTTTTCATCGAAAATTCAAGTTCAATGTTTCTCATTGATATGAACTGGGGTTTCGAAGAAAGTTGAATAGAATAAAATATAACAGTATTTACGGTTAGAATCTAAAACTTACTTCAGAAAAGGGGAAAATAGTGAATTTTAATATTTTACCGCAAACAGCACCGAAGACAAGCAGTAAATTATTCGATTTTTTATTTTTATTTTACTGTCTTTAGTTTTCCATTTTTAAAATTCCATCAGCACGTGTGTTTATGCTTGTTTGTTTTTCGGCAAAACAGTTAAGCTTAGAAATAACGATGAAAACTTTCGAAAAAAAAAAAGTCGCTTTCGCAATATGAAGACAAGTAAAAACAACAAAGAAAGAGGGGAAAAAGAAAGAAAACACCCACACACATCAGTGCCAGTATAAACAGTAGCATTAGGCTTTTACGATAGGTATAATAATAAGAGGGAAAAGCCAGCTATAAAAATTTTCATTTCTCTCCTGTTCCTGCTTCTGTAAGTAGCGCAAATACTACTACTACTACTACTACTACTACTGCTGCTACTACTACTACTACTACTTCATAGGAACGATGTTGTCTCTGATGTTATCTCATTACTTGTACTTCTATTTCATCTTATATTGATTTGTAATAGTAAGCCGGCAACTCAATACGAGAGAGAACTGCGAAAGGTCACTGCATCATCAATTGCGTTTGTGCTGTTCGCTTGTCTGTTGCTTCTTTTGCTGTTGAGAGTTTTGCTGGTAATTTTCATATATGGAAGCAAAGAGAAATAAAACGATAAGTTACATTTAAATATAAATCAGTGTTGCAGTTAAAAAGAAAAATATGGCCAGTTCTATTAAAGCCCTGGTCATTTATAAACAGGGATCAAGAATTAATATACATTTATTTCCAGTGTGTTTAGGAAATTGAACAATTGTTTTTCGTTTACCCCATATAAGCATTGGGACCCCACATTAAAAAACGGCTTTATGTCAAATAGCATTCAAGTGGGAGGAGGTTTAAATAACCCTGTACTAAATCGTTTTATCTCTCGTTTGATCTTTCTGTCAAATCTGGATAAACTAAGACGACCTGTAGTTTAAAGAGCTTTCCTTGAGAAGGAGATATTTTTGTTGTACTAAAAATATTAGTGATGTTTGGAGTAGTAATGCCGGTGGGAATTTTTCAACTTTGTGCCAGTTCAAATATACGTTCCGCCGGGAATTTTTATATTAGTTTAATAAACGTGGCGGTTCGTACAATACTGCCGGGGAAATATAAATAATAATAATAATAATAATAAAAGTACTACATCAAATAAGCACCATTAAGTGGATTAAAAAGTATTTGACAGTGCCGGTGTTTATATTTGGTACAAAGGAGTAGCTTCGTTTTTATCACAAGGTCAAAAATTTAGGTAACCTAGCGATGAGGTGCCGCAAGAAGCATAACGTCTCTCTTAATCTGTGAATACTTCTTCTTCTTTATGTACTGTGTCCCCTCAAGGCGTAGGCAATCATGGCTCTCCACAATTTCCTGTCGCTTGCAGCTCTAAATAAATTCTGTCTTTTTTTTTTCTAAACCCTGTTCAGACATCCATTGTCTCAAGCTCGTCAAGTATGTTATATGTGGTTTTCCTGTGTCCCTCTTGTCTGTCCTGTGAGTATCAGATTTTCCAAGCCCTCCTTCCTTATTGTGCTCTAGAAATTTCAACTATCTCTTCCTGATATAAAGTACTAAATCTAATTTTGTCCGTTTTCTTTAAGCTCTTCATCGAATATATAAACAACCACAAACTGAATTTTTGCATAACATATGACCTCCGTTATTGGTGTTTTTAAAGGATAGCTCAATCGAGAAGAAGGTAAAATAGGCGTTAAGAACGGGGATGATGCATTAGACTGTACATCTATGAGAGGACGACATGCCTTCTTCTTTAGAAATCAACAACAGAAAATACATTTAACTTAGTCCGAACGCTGGATGCTAACAACGGCAGAAAATATCCAACAATTTTAGCCACAAAATAGGCTACAGGCTATATATTTGTTTAAAAGTGGACGCAACGACCTCGTCCGATTGAACTCAAGATGCCGATCCTACATTTTGTGCCGGCCAATAACTACTTCGCTGCACAATATCTTAATTTTATGAGTCAATATAACTCAGGGGACGTGTTTGAACTCTAAGAGTATGGCTATTCGTTGGCCTAATTCATTCAAAGTATGTATCTTCTATTTAAATCTTTGTCTACTGATTAGAATCAGCTCTCAATAAAAGTATCTCTCTCTCTCTCTCTCTCTCTCTCTCTCTCTCTCTCTCTCTCTCTGAGTTTATTTCCTATTTCTTGCCATTTGGGTGAGTTTGCTTCATATTTTCTGCTGTTTGATAGAGTTTACTTCGTATTTCCCGCTGCTTGGGTGTGTTTCGTATTTCCCGCTGTTTGGGTGAGTTTGTTTCCTATTTCCCGCTGTCTGGGTCAGTTTGTTTCCTATTTCCCGCGGTTTGGGTCAGTTTGTTTTGTATTTCCCGCTGTTTGTACAGTTCCTTTCGTATTTCTCGCTGTTTGCTTCGTATTTCTTGTCTGCGTCAGTGTTCATTTGCCACTCAAGGTTGATTTTTCTGAGCATATTGAAGATTGACACAACACAATTTTCTTACTCTTATTTAAACCTGAACGTACTTAATAATTTAATATTATTAACAATAATATGCCAGTCTTGTTCTATCTTCTATTTGATTTTTTTTTTTCGCTTTATAATTTTCGAATTAACCATGAACGTATTTCTATTTTGGCATCGTTTTACTTAAATGTTTTGCTTTTATATCGTATCAGTATGACATTTCAATGGACTTGTTGTTGCTTAATGGTCTTTCAGTACATGCCAAATTATTATAACAGCTAATTTCGTCCCCGTCGCTTCGCTGACGATAAGATGATCAAATTTCAAATCTAAATTGTCCTTTCAAAATACAACATTTATTAGAAAATATATTCGGTTTAAATGCAGGAGGAGTCATAAAAATTATTTAAAATGGCCGCATATTTCGGTTTATAATATTTTCCTGTTAATCAAGGATTGTTGTCCGATTGCAAAGGCACTGAAGACAGTTGTATATATTTCAATTTTATTCAAATTTTGTGTATTTAATTTTGCTTGTACGCATGTATATTTTAATTCAGTGACAAGCTGAACAATATTTCTTTAAATTAAGAAAGAAAGAATAAAGTTAAAAAAATAATCCTATATGATGGGGCACTGATATACAATGATTTTAGTAAAATCCAGCAGAAACGTGAAATGTAGGGTTGCCATTGAAAATAGAACTGTAACTGTTTCCCAGATGAGCTTGTTGGTTATCGCTGTCCGGCGAGGTGATAAATGTTTTCAGCTCAGTCAATTGAAAAAAAAAAAAAAAAAGATGTGCGGCTGCCATTAAAGATCGAACTTAGAGCCTGCGGTACGAAATTCCATTGCTTCAAAATAATGTCAGGTATTTATTAAGTTTAGTAGGGCACTCAGCTATAAAGTTTACATATGAAAAAAGTGAATCGCTTCTTAATGAATATTAATATTTATTGTACTTCTTAATAAATGCATAAAGTAGGTTAAGTATTTAAGTGCCGCTTTTCTTTAACTTTTCTATGATCTTGCAATATTAAATCTACGCGTTGATGTAACAAGTGCTCTGTAAAACGCACCCATGGACTTCTAAGAAAAATGTTGTCAGCGTTTTGCTTCTTATCGACTAAAAATAGCAGAAACTCTTTACCAAAAAGGAAAGCAAATTTTACTATAGTCCTACATAAAACAGTGGATATATATATATATATATATATATATATATATATATATATATATATATTACAATTCAATTCATCATCTTATTAAAATTCTGCTTTTTAATTTTTTTAGTTTCCTTGTACGTACGTATGCCCTGTCAATGATTCATAAATAATGGACTATTTCATTTTGATTGCGCGGAAAGAAGGAAAAGACATATCAGAGATGCTACTTGGTTTCAGTGAGTAAATGAAAGAAAGAAGGGAATATCGAAACAGCGATAACACTCTCAATTTTTTGACGTGTTTTTCAGTCAAATGGAAAAATTGTCAATTTCAAATCTTTTCATTTGTATCCCCTTACTTCTTAAAAATACGACACGCATCCAAAATATTGTTATTGCAATATTTTGTTTCGTTGTAAAGCTCAAATATGTATCGATGCGACAGGGAAATTATTCAGTCATTATCATAAGAATTAAGATTTATTAGAAAATGCAAATAGAAAAATAGTGAAATT